GTTTCCCTCTTTGGAGGTGACATATAAGCTCTGATTCATATTAAATTCTCCCACTAAACTAAACAACTTCCTTTTCGGACTTAAAACAAGTTCCATTAAACACAAATCTATTTCCATTTTAAATCAGATACAAGTGCTATGTGATCAGAGGGATGCGAAACACTAGGTAAGGCCTGGTGGGTGGTAACTTCCTCATGACTAGGCAATGGAATCACCTGTTCAACCTCTAGAGCATTTAAGTCAATGAAAATATAATCCAGACATCCATGAAAGCCACCAACGTAATTTGTGTAAGCAGGTTCACCACAAGCACTTCTCAGTTTGAAGAAGTGGGTCAGAGACATGTTGCATCTTTCCTCCTCCCCATTGGAAGCCCAGTCTTCATGTTCCTCTGGAATGTTGCCATTGATGACAAAATGATACATTCCTGTCGATGGTGTACTGTTGAAGTCCCCACAAAATATAACTGGTATGCCAGGATAGACATCCCACGAGACATGTCTAATATGAGCCAAGGCTACTGCGATTTGGATGAGACGAATGTACCCACCTAGGAATATAAAAATCATTCATGTAAGTACTTTTTGAAGTTGTCTTTAAGTAAAAAAGAAAAAACTTATAAACTACAGTATCTGGGGACATTTAAGATGCACATTTGTGTAAAACAGCTTTACTGACCTTAAGTCACCGTGTTCAAGTCATCTGTGAAACCAAATAAAACCTACCTTTTGGATGCCAGTAGAGATGGGTATTAGCAACACAAATCTTTTTAGAAGAGTCCTTTGTAGACTGAAGAACTAAAACCTAAAATAAACAGAAAGTGCCAAGAGTTCATTTGGTGTCTGTCAATCTCCTAAATGCTTTTTATTGAAGACTGTATGACGAACTGACATTTTATTCCATGTCTTTCCTTTACTGACGATGTAAGATAGCAATTATGAAATACGACTTCTGCTATATGAGCTTCAGTGTGTACGTGAATAGGACTCAGCATAACATGTTTTAGTAACAGTCCAAAACATAAAGCTAGTCTGAGAAGAATAAATTTTAGACGACACTAAGGTTGGAGGCAGTTCATGTGGTTAAGAGCAGGCTTTGGAGTTAGGCAAACCTAGATTTAAATACTCACTCTACCATTTACAGAAGTGTGAGTTGGGAAGAGACATTTAATAATGTTTTCTAAGCCACCTTCATGACACGTAGAAAGAGACAATACCATTCACCTCACAGCAGATGGTCATGTAGATTCAGTTAAATGAGCTAACCAGAGGGACATGAAACGGAGGTACTAAAAAAAATGGTAGCTACTATTACTATGCATAAAATTAGTTACCTAAAAACGCTGGGCAAACACACCAATGAACATGTTTTTAAGAACTAAGGTAGCCTTAAGCTGAGGAGCAGTTAACACTGCCAGGTGGTGGTGGCATACATAACTGACTGGGTGAGAATCCTGGCTCCACAGCTGTGTAAACTTGACTATTTCCTCAACTATAAAATGGGAAGACAACATATTACCATGAAGATTAAATCAGAAAATGATAAAGAACAGCTAATATTTATGGAGCACTTCATAAAACACGCCAAGGCATTTCAATTTTAAGGACTTTAAAACGCGTTAGAACAGTGCTTGGCAAACAGAAAACAGTATTAGCTATTATAGTGTTCTCGTATTTAGTGGGTGCCTCTCCCACTAGGTTGTAAGCACTACTCAAGTCCCTGTTTGTCCTGCCAAAGGGAACCTTCAGCCGCCTGGGCCACTGGAGGCGCTCAATGAATAGCTGCTGAATGAATGAATGAAAGCCAGCGGCCGTGCTGGGGAGCCACGGGCGAACACCTTCCAAGAAAACCTGGGTTGTTTGAGCTCAGTTACAGGGCCCCTGCCTTCCAGGCCCCTGACAACGGACGGGCGTGTGAAGAAACAGGCGCAGCTACGTTACCTGAAGGACAGAAGATCTCTGGAACACCCTTTCCTGTGCTGCTGGGTATAAAGCTAGTTTCTCTAGCAGTTCTTTGTGAAGTGGGTCGGACTGCAAGGCTTCGTGGAAAGAAATGTCATGTTGACTAAGGAGGCTGAACTTGGACTTTCGGTAGAAGGTGGCCAGACCTTCGTGCTGCTTGACTCGAAAGGCGCCCTCCAGGCCAAAGGCCTCGAGGGCGGGCACCAAGCTGTCTGTAAACACTGCGCGGTCCACCTCCTGCAAACAGATGAGGTCGGCGTTATAGCCCGTGAGCTCCTTCTGGATAAGGTTCTGGCGGTAGTCGAGCTCCAGGGCGTAGGGGGCACAGTAGGGGTACAGGACCGTCCGCGAGAATTCAGTCTGGGCGTACGTGTCGGCCAGGAGGTTGTAGGAGACCGTCCGGATGAGAGAGCCGTCCGTCACCTTCTTGGTGTAGAGATGCCGGTGGTCAAAGGTGCAGGTGCCGGGCCCAGCCTCCACGGGACACACGCTTTCCAGCTCCCGGCTGGGCCCGAAGCGCTGACCGTTGCCTGGGGTGCAACGAAGCTTGAGCCGCAACCCGATGTCGGCATTGGACGGGGTGTAGACGCGCTCGTTCACACCCGTCTCTGTCCACCTAGGGGAGGCCGACGAGGGAGACAACGACGAGGGGCCCTCGCCCTCAGGCTCGGTGGCTCCGGGCTTGGCTTCCCTGTACCAGCGGAAGAGGGAGCTGGCGGGATCCCCAAATTCGAGGCTGAGCTTGGGGCACACGGGGAAGCCGGCCATAATGTAGCGTGGCAACCGCAACTCGGTGAAGGCGGGTGGGTTGCGCTCCACCTTGTACTTGACGTCGCCGATCTGCAGCACCGCGCCGTCCTGCCAGGCATCCACGTTGAGCACGTCCTCAGCCACCGGCTCCTCTCGGTAGTACAGCTTCACCACGGGTTCGCAGGGCGCTGCCGGCTCGGCCCCAGGCCCTGCACAGGCCGCGCCGCCGCTCGCGTTCGGCCGGTTCTTCCTGCTCTTCTTGGCAGCGATGACCTTGGCTTGGCCCTTGAGGGCGTTGGTGGCGATCCGGCTAAGGACCCGACCCAGTGGCTCGCTCTGGTCGCGCTGCATATTCTTGTGGCTGCCGTCGGCCAGCGCGAACGACAAACTTAGCTTGGGCTCCGAGGGCACACAGCGCACTACCGCGCGCTCCATAGCTCCTGCTGCTGCCTCAGTCACTGACTCGGCCCGGCCGCGCCGCTCCTCCGCCCTCCAGACCCCACGAAGCGCGGCGCGGGCGCTTAGGAGTCTCCACATGAACCTAGCGGCCCAGAGGCTGACGAGACCGGCGGCCAAACGGTGCCCGAGCGTCAAGCGCTAAAAGATGAGAGACAGTCGCCGGCGCCGGGACCCATTCAGTCCCGGCAACTTCCGGCTGGCAAAGAGACAGTGCACGATGCTTCTGCACCGCACTTTCGCCAGGCTCGCTCGCCAATTCCTTTTATCCATATCCCCAACTGTCTCGAATCTCTCTCAGCTTAATTTTTATCCCCAATAATAGTTAGGGTTAAGAAAAAATTAACAGAATATAGAGGTTTCAAAGGACAATATTAGGCTCCATGGTTTCTAGAAAGTGCAGTTCGGAGGCAGGAATGAAGGCGCGCCAAGCCGGAAGTGGCTGGGGCGGTGTCGCGGTTCCTCCGGCGCTGAGGGAGGCGGGGTCTCGCCCGAACTCAAGGCCTAGGGAGTTGTCGGAGCGTCGCGGTGGGCTGGAGTGCAGGAGGGCGTCGGGAGCTTTGCCGAGATTGCCAGGCTGGATGGGAACGTGGAAAAGTGGCGCTCAAGTCCTCTCCACTGTGCTGCACACCCAGCTCGCCTTCTTCCGAGGTGTGGTGGGTTCGCCTCAGTTCAGGGCAGCGCCCTCACGCCGAACTGAGCCTTTGTGGTAGTTAATAACGACAAACAATACGAAAGAACTCCAGTTTAGTGAGCGCTGAATATACCAAGAACTCTATCCGTAATATCACGTGTAAACGTTACAGGTCTTCTGAAGTAGCTCCCCTTATCCATCTCTTAAATATGTGAAGTCCGGAGAGATTTAAGTTGTCTGCTCAAGGTCACACAGCTAGTAAATTGGCAGAAACAAATAGGAACGACAAACTGAGAAAAGCTGTTATCTTTTTAACTGGTAAAGAGATAGGAACCAAAAAACCAAATCCGTTGCCACGGAGCAGACTCCAACTCATGGCAACCCTGTGTGTTAAAGATTATAACTGAGCTCCATAGGGTTTTCTTGGCTGTAATATTTATGACAGCAGATAGCCAGGCCTTTCTTCCGTGGCACAACTGGGTGGGTTCAAACCTCCAGCCTGTGGGTTAGTAGTCAGTGCAAACCATTTTTGCCAGCCAGGGATCTTAAGGAGATAACCTGTTGCTGTGGAGCCGTTTCCAACCTTAGCAACCCTGTAGGACAGAGTAGAACTGCCCCATTGGGTATCCAGTGCTGTAAATCTTTATGGAAGCAGACTGCCACATCTTTTTCTTGTGAAGCAGCTGGTGGGTTGAAACGGCTGACCTTTTGGTTAGCAGTTGAGTGCTTTAACCACTGTGCCACCAAGCCTCCTTAAATACGGGACTCCCAGTTAAATTTGAATTTCAGATAAACAAGAAATAATGGGACATAACTTATACTAAAAAGTAATTTCTTGTTCTTCTAAATTCAAATTTTAACTGGGCATCCTGCATTTTATCTGGTAACCCTATTTCTGTCAAAGGCTTTGAAGTATAAATGAACTTTGTTTGTAGAACAGAGAGAAGTCCACTGTGGCTGGAACACTGAGCCCAGGGGAGTGGGAGGTAGGAAAGACAGGCAGCCACCAGTTCCTGTGGTACACCTAAGCCACGGTATGTAGTTCTGGGTTTTCTTTTAAGTAAAAGAGAAGCCATTGGAGTTGTTTTGCAGGTATTTGTGGTGAAACTTTAATTTTCTTTTTAACTGAAAAGGAAAAAATAAAAATATTTAGTTGTTTAATTTTGGGGAAGAAAAGTTGACATTCTAATGCTCATTGACCTCTGTTTAATTTCTTTTGTTTTTAAATTTTCATAAAGCCTTAACCCAGGAGAGCATTATAATTTTTTTAGCTTAAAATTTTTTAAAAGAGATTTCCGGGTAACATGGTGCTATAGACAGAAGCACCATGCCGTCCCTCCACAGCAAAGATCCAAAAAACTAAGTCAAACAGAGACAAATGTCAGTCCTGAAACCCTAAGCATCAAATGAAGAGATAAAGAACTCAGCCAAGCACCGAATGGAATAAGAAACTGACTGAGAACAGAGAGTGAGGAGAGATATATGCAGAGGTCCCCTATCAGCTAATGCAGCACAGATCCGCCATCTTGGACTCCTATCAGAGATTGGCAAACGGGGTACGAGAAAGCAGCTTCATGGAGCTTCCAGCAGGAGACAAAACAACCGGTAACCCGCGATATACGCTTTAGCACCCCTCCATCCTTCTTCACCCCCACTCGGTCCCCTCTGCTTCCTGCGGCCACAGTTTCTTGGCCAGGAAACAACTGGCTTCACCCGGTGCTGCTTGGATTCCACCCACCCACACTGGCCGGCTCCCTGAGTGCCATTTGTTGGATGCTGGTGTTGCTTTTTTCCACTTCTTTGGATTTCTTCTTTACCTCTTACCACCTCCCCCTCCTTTCTCTCAAATACCTGGCTCCATGTGCCATCTTTGCTTCTTCCTGAAAGGCTGTGGAACACCACTTGACTGTGAAACTGCTTCCCGGCCTGTGCCACCACACTGGTGGGATCTCTGGGGCTTTTTTTTTTTTGGTTTGTTTGTTCTGATTTGTTTGTTTTCTTTTTCTTTTCTTGGCTTGGGAGTCCCTTCCTGCCAGGCAGTACTGCACGGCTTGGGAGCTACTCCCTTACTCTGTGCAGATGCGCAGTGGGATCCCTGAGACTTTTCTTTTTCTCTTGTTTTTTGTTTTTTGTTTCTTTGTTTTGTTTTCTTCTCTCTTTTTCCCTTTCTTCATTTCTTAGTTTCTTGTCTCTCTATACTTACCTTCTCTTCCTGTCTTCTGAATACCTGGCACTGTGTGACATTTCTACCCCGTCTAGCCAGGCTGTACTTCACGGCCTAGGAGCAACTTCCCCAGTCCTCGCAGCTGCATCAGTGGGATCCCTGAGAGCTTTTCTTTTTTTTTCTAATTTTTATTTATTCATTTTTTTCTTTTTGTTTTTCTCCATTTCTCAGTCTCTCATCTCTCCACTCCAAAGGCAAGCTCCCTTAGCAGTGTTTTTTGTTTGTTTATATGTTTTTGGCTCCTGTTCCTCTCTCCTCTTTCCCATATCCATGTTAGCTGCACACATCACAATCTCCCCCCTCCTTCCTGCCTACCTGCACTGTGCGCTGAACATCACACCCTTAAACAGCACAGGCACGGCCTACGGGAACCTGCCCTGAACTGATTCCTAGCCAGCCCTGTCGGCCCTAGTATGTGCCACAAACAACCCATCCCAGCAACTCCCCTTCAGCTGGACCTGCCCTGCTGTACCATACCTGAGTGACTCACCCTGCCTATTGGAGAAGGAGACGAAAAGGATCATGCCTACAGATGAGCAAACAACAAAGAACGCATAGCCCACTTGCTCACACATAACCAAATAAAACAAAAAATCAGGACAAAACAAATCT